CCGCAGACTCCCTGATTGGGCCTATCTCTCTCCATCCTTTTTTTTTTTTTTTTGTAATTTTCTAATTTTTTTTTTATTTGTTATACCTTATTTAATGTTATTGGTTTACCATAAGTGCCCCTATGGTAAACCAGTAACGTTACCTTGATCTCCCACCATTTATCCTATGTTGTTGTTTCTTGTGGCCCCCATACCCCCAGGCCGCAGACACCCTGGGTCTATCCCTTGCCATCCATATTTTTTTTTTGTTATACCTTGTTTATCAGTATTGGTTTACCATAAGTGACCCTATGGTAAACCAGTAATGTTACCAGTAGCGTTACCTTGATCTCCAACTACCTATCTTATGTTGTTGTCTCTTGTGGTCCCCATACCCCCAAGGTCGGAGACTCCCCAGATGGGCTTATCTTTCTTCATCCACATTTTTTTTGTTATATCTTGTTTTAACATTATTGCTTTACCATAAGTGACCTTATGGTAAACCGGTAATGTTACCTTGATCTCCCACCACCTCACTTATGTTGTTGTCTCTTGTGGCCCCCATACCCCCCAGGCTGCAGACTCCCTGAATGGGCCAATCTCTCTCCATCCTTTTTTTTTTTTTTTTTGTTATACCTTATGTAATGTTATTGGTTTACCATAAGTGACCCTATGGTAAACCAGTAATGTTACCAGTAACGTTACCTTTTTTTTTTTTTAATTTGAATATTTATTGATTTTCAAAATATTAGGAAATTTAAAATCTACAATATAAATTCTTTACATTCATATAACAACAATATCTAACTTGTACATTCATTTCCAATATTTTCCTTATTTCTCCCAGCCCCCCCATTAGTAAAATCCAAAGTCACCCCCTCCCTACCCTCCCACCCCACCCTACAACTACCGCTCTTTGGCAAGAGAAAAAGAGGCTCTCACCACAAGGGGGCAGGAAAAAGAGAGGCCCTATTCTCATCCACTCACCTTGATCTAAACTCTTCCCATTTTTTTCCATTTCGCCTGGTATATCCCCACACCATCTTCCTGGGTATAAAACAGTTTCTCTAATCTTACAATATAGTCCATTCTATCTATCCAGTCTTGTTTTTTGGGGGCTTCTACTTGACGCCAAAACTTTGGAATCAATCCCTTGGCTGCATTTAAAATGTACCATGCTCCTGATTCTTTATATTTATTTACTGTTATTTCTGTATTATGTAAAAGGCAGGTTCCAGGGTCCAGACTGATATCAATTTCCATAATCTTTCTAATTTGGTGTACCACTTCTCCCCAGAATACTTGTATCTTTGGACATTTCCACCATATGTGATAAAACGTGCCTATCTCTCCACACCCCCCGCCAACAAAAAGGTGATTTCTCCCAACTTATCTTACCAGTAACGTTACCTTGATCTCCCACCATTTATCCTATGTTGTTGTTTCTTGTGGCCCCCATACCCTCAGGCTGCAGATACCTGGGCCTATCTCTCTCCATCCATTTTTATTTTTGTTATACCTTGTTTAATGTTATTGGTTTACCATAAGTGCCCCTATGGTAAACCAGTAACGTTGCCTTGATCTCCCGCCATTTATCTATGTTGTGGTTTCTTGTGGCCCCCTTACCCTCAGGCTGCAGATATCTGGGCCTATCCCACTTCATTCATATTTTTTTTGTTATATCTCATTTAACATTACTGGTTTACCATAAGTGACCTTATGGAAAATCAGTAATGTTACCTTGATCTCCCACCATTTATCCTATGTTGTTGTTTGTTGTGGCCCCCATACCTCCCAGACCACAAGTGCCCTGTTTGAGCCTATCCCTCTTCATCCATGCTTCCTTTTTTATACCTTATTTATTGTTACTGGTTTACTATAAGTCAATATACTAATTGAATTTCATGTTAATAATTGATGTATCCCCAACCACTCGATGTTATGCCTCCTTGTTAAAGTTTTTACCTTTACTTCAAACCTCCCCTCCCAAAAAAAAAAAAAGTTGAAAAAAAAAAAAATAGATGTCTTCTGTTTCTCCTTTTAATACGAGGTGTAAAAGGTGGCGTTACCCTTTAAATATGATGAATTGACTACCTTTCCTGAAAAAAACTGCTCAGAAGGTCGTCGTTTTTGAGTAGGATTTGTAACACAAAGCCGGGAGGCCCGCGCTATCAAGTTGTTTTGGCGTCTCCAAGCAACAGTGCCAAGGGAAAAATGTATTACACAGAAAGCCTTTCACACAAACATCTGCTTAGTAAATCATCATAAACAGCCATACGTCCTCTGCCTGACTCCTGCGAGTTCCAGAGCTGAGCGTGCGCCAAGCCCCGGATTGTGATGGCCAGCAGCCTTTGCGTAAGCAGAGATTAAATTACAGCCTTGTAACTGAAGTACAGTACAGACAAGTTTTGGTCTAGCATTTGTGTACTGCTCCACGGTTTACACACATGCTGCAGCTGCCCATGAAGGCTTCTGCATAACTCCAGTGCACATAAGCTTGAAGGGAAGCCATTCTATGAGTCACATTGCGAAGGGTGGTCACCATGACAACCCGCGTGTCTGGAGTGTTCTTCAGGCGCTTAAATCCACCTTTAAGAACCAAGGCCAGCAGCTGCCACTGGTCACGCTTCTTGTGCCAGGGTGGATATTTCTTAATTACCGAATGAATGTCTGGCCTTGGCGTTCTTCGGTTACCACGATATGGCCAGATTTTTTTTTTTTTCCCCAAAAATTGAATAATGGTGGTAAAATGTGTTCACTATTATTTATTTATTTCAGGTACTTATATAGCGCTGTCAATTTATGCAGCACTTTACATATATATATATATATATATACTCTATATATATTGAACATTCACATCAGTCCCTAACCCTCAAGGGGTGTACAATCTAAGGTCCCTAACTCACATTCATACATAAACATATTAGGGCCAATTTAGACAGGATCCAATTAACCTACCAGCATGTCCTTGGAGTGTGGGAGGAAACCGGAGTACCCGGAGGAAACCCATGCAAGCACAGGGAGAAAATGCAAACTCCAGGCAGGAGGCGCCATGGTCGGGAATCGAACCCATGACCCATTTACTGCAAGGCAGACGTCACTACACTCTCTTATATAGATATGACACACACACACACCTCACAAATGTGCTTCTGAAGGAATGGTCAAACATTCCCATAGACACTTGTGGACAGCCTTCCCAGAAGAGTTGAAGCTGTTATAGCTGCAAAGGGTGGGCCAACTCAATATTGAACCCTACGGACTAAAAGTGGGATGCCATTAAAGTTCATGTGCGTGTAAAGGCAGGCCGACCAATACTTCTGACAAATTTTAGTGTGTGTGTGTGTGTATATGTATATATATATATATATATATATATATATATATATATATATATATAATTTAAAACAAAAAATTATTATTTTTTTGTTTCATGGAGATAGATGAAGAAGAAATACTTTCTCAGGAACTGATGAGAATCAGGATGTATTTGAAAAATTTAATGAGTGCCCAACATTTCGGTGGGTGCAGCTTTCATTTCTTAAGGCTCAAATGTTTTTCTAAAGTATATGTGCACCCTCACCTTGTAAAGCAACCGATTCAGTGTAAAATAGAACAGAAAGGCAAAACATTTGCGTATAGACAAAAATACAAGTTATAAATACTTTTTTTCCCCCTTTTTTTGTAAGTGATCACACACCCTCTGTCTTCAGCTGCATAGGTATCTTAGAGAGCTGAGGGAGGAAAAATGGCAGCACACTGATCTTCCCAGTGAATGGCTGTAGGGGGGGGGGGGGAGCTCTGATCATTGGAAGCAGACGGACTTCCCAGCATAGCTAGAGAACTGATCCTGCTGTGCTCTTTTGCCTAGTGTGGTCAGTTTTTAATAGGAAAGCAGAGGGACTGCCAGGAACACTAGCGATTTCATACAAAGGAAGCAATACAAAGAGAACAGGCTACATTCCCATACAATTACATGGTACAAAAGGAAAATGAAATTTTGGGTTGACCTAATAACTCAACATTGGTGGTAAAGTGTATTTTATTTATATATACTGTGTGTATGTGTATATATGTATATGTATGTATATATATATATATATATATATATATATATATATATTTAATATGCCATTTTTGCCTTGCTTGCTGGATTTGGTGCAGACACAGACTGGGGAAACTCCAACAGCCCTATGCCATGCACCTTTTATTCTATCGACTGAAATACACAGCACATCATCACAAACACAACATTATTTGCACAGGTGGCCATGATTAAAATGCAGTTGGGAGTAAAGTTTCCATGATGTATAAAGGAAGAGAGGCTCTGTGGTTCCCAGGGGAGGACTGACCATTTGGAAACTTGGGCAATGCCCGAGGGCCCGGGGTCAGTAGGGGTCCCATGAGATGTCCCTGGTACCTTTTTCATAGGCTTTTTTGAGTTTGGGCAAGGACACAGGGGCTCCATGATCCCCTATTGCAGGGGGCCCTATGAGTTGTCAGTCCGCCCCTGGTGGTTCCCCAGAAGCATGGTAGGATTGGGTGCGGCAGAGACCTGCGTATTGTTTGTTTCTTTGCCACTAATGGGACAGTAATTTTGACAGTATATAAAGTACCTTTTTGTCCTTCACTACCTGACAAGAGACGGCCATCATCATATGTATTGCTAGATCTGTAGACAGGGATAGCTTTCCAGGTATATTTTGGCCGTGGTTGATATTCATTTTAAACCATAATATACTTGTAACTGAGGCTGTTCATGTGTGTAATACTAGATTTGCCGTTTTGCTATGGATTATGCCAGGGGTGGGCAACTGTAGCCCTCCAGCTGTTGTAGAACTACAAGTCCCATGAGGCATTGCAAAACTGACAGTTACAAGCATGACTCCCAAAGGAAGAGGCATGCTGGGACTTGTAGTTCACTAACAGCTGGAGGGCCACATTTGTCCACCCCGTGGATTATGCAGATCACCAGCTGCCCATTGGTGTCACAGGAGTAATACTATCTTACTTTTTGTCTCCACAGCCCACCGGGTACATGGAGAACAGCATGCCATACAGTTCTATTGAGGATGTCCAGCTTCTGTCCTGGGAGAATGCTCCAAAATACTGTTTACAACTAACTTTTCCCGGAGGAACGGTCCTACTCCAGGTATGACATATATACATTAGGTTGTTTAGTGTGGGGTTTACTTGTTGTATAATAAATTACCTACTTCAGCTATATGCAGAGCGCATCCATAAGTAATATACAAGTTATGTATGTTTTTTTAATATCAAGTTTAGTAAGGTTTGTCCTTCTCTTTTATTCGACCCAGTTTGAGTGCAGGTGGGCTTTGTACAGCAAGTCCACAACATACAATGAAACAAAACATCATCTCGTAGGAGCAACTGAACACAAGTCAGTTGAATAAGGGCTCGTTCACACTTGACTGTTTTACCAACGCTTGCCAAACGCCCCTATACCGTTTGGCAAGTGTTGGTCCGGCGTTTACGGAGCGTTTTTTAACGCTTGGCAAACGCTCCGCAAACGCCGCATGCGCGGTTTAGCGGCGGTTGCTAGGCATTTGCCGAGCGTTAAAAACGCCCCACAAATGCCTATAATGAAGTTTAAATGGTGCTACCGCTCCGCTAAAGCCCCGCAACCACGTCGCAAACGCCGGCTGGGCGTTTGCGGAGCGGCACCATAGACTAGAATAGGAGGCTTCAACGCCTCCTGACTCGACCAGAGGCGTCCGTTTTGCCGCGACGCCAATGCTCCCGTTAGAACAGCACCATGTGGCTGCAATGTGCAGAATTGTCCGAGGCGTCTGGGAAGCAGTAAAAAACGCTTCCCAAAAGCCTCTCTGCCGCCTGCACACAACGCTAGTGTGAACGTAGCCTAACAGAGTCTCCCTTAATGAGTCTCCCTACAGCGCTGAGCAAACTGTTGCCGCTATATAAATACTGTATAATAATAATAATGAGTTCTCCAAAACAAACAGGCAGCTCTTGTACCTTTTTTAGTCTGGTTGTTATTATTATTATACAGGATTTATATCGTGCCAACAGTTTGCTCAGCGCTTTACAATATAACGGGAGACAATACAGCAACAATACAGTTCAATACAAGAGGGTTAGGAGGGCCCTGCTCCTTGGAGCTTACAATCTAAGAGTAAGGGGCTGGTGGTACAAAAGGATAGGCTTTTTTCTTTTCTAGTATTATGTTATAACATTTCCCAGTTCTTTCCAAAACTAAAAAAAAAAGTTTGGGCTGCACATACACTTTGGGCTGTTTCCCACAATGAATTGCACAGAATTCTGCTGTGCTTTCCTGTGCACTTCACATGTGATCCGGGTGCAGTGCGATTTCAGCCCATTGATTTGAATCGGTTGTAATTGCGGCCAGACTGCACCAAAGTAGTACATGCAATACTTTATAAAACCCACAGAAACCGGAGAGCATGGTACTAGTACAAGTACAAGCAGTACCATGCAATCTTGTGCAGGCAAATGCACTGTCATTAGGTTAACATTGGCAGATCGCAACTGCAGTGCGTTTTGAACTGTTATGTGAACATGGTAACAAAGTGGAAACTAACATTTTGAAGACACGCATGCCCTCTTTTATCAACAAATAGGTATGAGCACCACATCTAGACGCCTAAATGCATTGAGTTGCCGCTATGTGATTGGCTGATTAGCAATTTGTGTTACCAAGCAATTGAACAAGTGTACCTAATAAAGTGGCCAATGAGTGTATATGTATAGTGCTGCGTAAATTGTCAGCACTATTTGATTATCTGTAATAAATAAAATAAATTTAAAAAATCACCTGCCCCTAAATGCACAGTGACACCTGTAATAAATCATACATGCATTGCCCTGCAGTGTGATGGATAAAAAAAACGGTGGCACGTGGATGCGTGTTGAGGGCCCATTAACAGTGACTGGGAGATGAACCCGCAAAACATGTCACCTTGCATATAGCTGTGATTGGTCCCTATACAATATCTGTCATTTCTGTATTCTTTTTGTGAACCATTCAGTCTATGGCACACATGCTATGGACTGAAAAGAGTTTAAACAACCTTTCAGTCCAGAAGGTATTATTGCCGTGCTCATTTTCCCTGTGTAAATGTTTTGCGCACACACGTGGTGCCTTTTTTCCCCTTCTGTTCCTAATAATCAGAAGGTAACCAGATGGAAAAACAAACAGGGAGAAGCCCTGGTAATGCACAGTGAAGATACAGTAGCTGATGGTGTACAGCGCCTGTGCTCGCGTCATGTTTATGTGTTTACTTTTATGGGAATAAATCTGTTGCTGTTTAATAAATAATCCAAAATCCTAAAATGAGAATATTACAATAATCAGTTTTGTGCACAGCCTTAGGGCCTCAATTTTGAGACATGAATCACAAACCTTTACATATTGGATAGTTTACTGCTGCTGCATAGATCCCATCTGTGTATAACAAGTTGGAAAATCTTTGTGTGGGATGATAAGAATGTTCTACATGCTAGTTATCACTCTGTGGGGAAGCACTACACCCCATCCTAAGATTCCCCTGAAATACTTGCCTACACCCAGAAACAACTGCTGCCTGGGACCCCACAGCAGCTGGTCATGCAACAAAATGTCTTAAAGTGGTTCCTTAAAGTGTGCAGCCCCCCCAGCTATAGTGAATAGTTGCCTGAGCCCGATCTCAATCCAGTGATGTGCACGAGAGCAGTGTTTTTTTTTTCCCTTTCCCATTGGCTCTGGCTGCTGTCAATCACAGCCAGCGGGGAGCGAGCAGGGAGCGGGGTCGAGACGCGCTCTGTGTGTCAATGGACACAGAGCTGTCTCAGGAGAAAACCTGCATGATTGCCCCCAGAGCAAGCGGCTTGCTATGGGTGGCGGGGAGAGGAGCCAGGAACGCCAGTGGAGAACCAAGAAGAGGTATCAGTGGGAACTTATCTGAGAGGCAGAAATTGCTCAAAGAACCCCTAGCAACCTCTGGAGAAACCCTAGGGTTCCACGGAACCCTGGTTTTGAAACCCTGCTTTAATGTGTTCTTTGATATGCTAAATGTTTTGTCATTTGCTACAATTTCTCTACTTTAATCCACTGCTATTGACTTCCAAGTCATTGATTTTATACCTCTATCTGTATATCTGATCGCAGTTACACACTGTATTCCTTAAAGTGTTACTAAACCTAAGACCCTGCATTCACTATATCTGGTCTCCCCGGACCCTGCATTCACTATATCTGGTCTCCCCGGACACTGCAATCACTATATCTGGTCTCCCTTAAACCCTGAATTCACTATATCTGGTCTCCCCAGACCCTGCATTCACTATATCTTGTCTCCCCAGACCCTGCATTCACTATATCTGGTCTCCCCGGACCCTGCATTCACTATATCTGGTCTCCCCGGACCCTGCATTCACTATATCTGGTCTCCCCGGACCCTGCATTCCCTATATATCTGGTTTCCCCGGACCCTGCATTCCCTATATCTGGTCTCCCCGGACCCCACATTCACTATATCTGGTCTCCCTGGACCCCGCATTCACTATATCTGGTCTCTCTGGACCCTGCATTCACTATATCCGGTCTCCCCGTACCCTGCATTCACTATATCCGGTCTCCCCGGACCCTGCATTCACTATATCTGGTCTCCCCGGACCCTGCATTCACTATATGTGGTCTTCCTGGAACCTGCATTCACTATATCTGGTCTCCCCGGACCCTGCATTCACTATATCTGGTCTCCCCGGACCCTGCATTCACTATATCTGGTCTCTCTGGACCCTGCATACACTATATCTTGTCTCCCTGGACCCTGCATTCACTATATCTGGTCTCCCCGAACCCTGCATTCACTATATGTGGTCTTCCTGGAACCTGCATTCACTATATTTGGTCTCCCACAGTACACAGAACATTGAAATGCAATTATTTTAGAAAATATAAATGGCTAGATACCTTTTCTCATGAGCAGTTAGAGCAGTCTTGTGACTTCTATCAGTGTTGAGCAGAGCACTGGTTGAAGCTTGTAGGAGGAGTTTTCTTTCTGCTCTAAGAGGATGCAAAACCCCTGATCTCTGTCTGGACAGTGCTGATTGGCCCTGTGCTGATCACATGCACTCTCCCAAGAAAATAAAAATCCTCTCTAGCAATACACACTTAACTGACCATGTGCATAAAGGCTAAAGTTCAGTCTGGCTTATCAGCATGGGCATTTGAACAAGAGGAGGGGCAGAGAAGTCAGGATCAAACATCCTTTTTACACAATGCAGAGATTTACCCCTTCGGTTCTACAGTGAGTATAACAAGCATGCTATACTGCACGGGTGTCAAACTGGTGGCCCTCCAGCTGTTGCTAAACTACAAGCCCCATGAGGCATTGCAAGATTGACAGTTACAAAGGCAGAGGCATGATGAGATTTGTAGTTTCGCAACACTCTCCCAAGAAAAAAAAAATCCCTCTCTAGCAATACACACTAAACTGAGTATGTGCAGAATGGCTACGGTTCAGACTGTCTTTTCAGGAGATAAGATGAGGACATTTGAACAAGGAGGAGGAGCAGAGAAGACAGGATCAAATGGCCTTTTTGCACGATGCAGAGGCATAACCCCACCAGTTGAACACCCCTGCTATACTGCATAACACTTTAGAACTTTTCAATAAAAATGTATTGAAAGAGAAAACCTATTTGAGATTGTAGTGGCTGGGCTTACATACACTGCATTGATGCCAAGATATTTCAAACTCCTCTAGCAGCTTCCTTTGCGGTGATTGTTACTTTTCTAAGTGTAACAAAATACCAAAAACATCCGATCATTTCATCAGTTTAACTTTTTTTATCTGGCTACTTTGTTACACTGAGGCTGTTCCTCGCTGCCTTTGCTTTGAAATGGTCCTTGGACAAAAGCCCGTGTTATGCTTTGATGCAAACAAATGCAGCATGACGATAGCATTTATAAGGGTCCTCTGTTAACTCCTTGCTTTGCAAAAGCTCATGGGGAAAAAAGCCGTGAATTGTTGGCTTTTTTTTTTTTTTTTTTCGCCGCGTACCAGGGGATGTCTAGGATCCAGCAGATTGGGGCTTTACTGCCTGGAAAATCCCAATATCCCTCATTCAGCACAATTGACACCTAATGAGCAAAGCCTGTTAGCATCA